ATCCCCAGCCCTATTTTGTATTTTATTTAGAGACAGGGTCTCACTGAGTGGCTTAGCACCTCGCTTTTGCTGAGGCTGGCTTTGAACCCTAAAAAAAAAAAAAAAAGTAATAGTTAGTCTTTGGAATTTGGGGTTCTATAGTGTTTTTCAGGAAATAGTATTTGATAAAGCATTTAAGAAGCAGGTATGGTGATGCATACCTGTAATTCAGTGACTTTGAGAGGATGAAGCAGGAGGATCACAAATTTGAGGTCTGTCCCAAAATAAAAAACAAAAAGGGTTGGGGATGAAGTTCAGTGGTAGAGTGCCCAGGGTTCAATTTCTAGTACCAAAAAAAAAAAAAAAAAGCATTTAAGAAAATAAAAATGTGTGTGATGAGTATATGTATTTTTTTATGACTTTATTCATTTATGTGGTGCTAAGTATCGAACCCAGTGCCTCACGTGTTAGACAAGCGCTCCCCCACTGAGCCACAACCCCAGCCCTATTTGTATGTTTTCAACTGCAAGAAGAAAATTGGTATATCTATATTTAATATCAAAATTATTTTAATGTGGATGAAACATGAAGTCTCAATATATACTGAAGTTTATTTAAAAACCTTGAAAATCATTATCCAAAGCCATTAACTCAACAAATACATCAAATATTTGTATTGTCAGAGTCCTTTGTAAAATTCAACTATACTATTTAATTTTTTAGTGCAGAGATTTAAGTTGGCCTTCTAGTTATGGCGATACTCCCACTATTTCTGTAAAGGGAATACTAGCGTTGCCCAAACCAGTGCATTTCAAGTCATCAGCAAAGGAAGCTTCTAATGTAAGTGACTGTTTATGTTTGAATTTCCTTTCTGTTCTTCTAATATTTATCACTTTTATCCATGTAAAGAATAAGAAAGTGTTTTACTTTTGGGAAACTAAAAATTATGTGTTCTTGCTTTTTAAAGATAATTTTTAGTCTCAAAATGTTTTGATATTTTATTGTCTAATATTAAGATTCATTTAAAAAGAAAATTTTGATCACTAAAATATATAGATTAACAGTATCTAAAATATATATTTAAAAGGAAAATAAATGTGTATATTTTCATCTTTTCTTTTTCCTAACTGGGCTTTGAAAAATAATTGCACAATTGCAATTAATCACTTTTAAATACTYCCAGTTACTATAAATGGAGTAGTTTATGTTCCTGGCTTTTATAAATTCTTATTTCACATTAATTTAAATACATGCTCATTATTATTTTTTGACATAGAAAACTTAGGGTTTTATATGCAAATGAAAAGAACTACCATTTAAAAATAAGAATTCAAATGACTAATAAGCAAAACATTACTGTTTCTATCAATCATAGAAATACAGATTTAAATTATATATTGATCTTTTTTTCTTATTAAAATAAGGAAATATTTTACAAGTATGCTACAACATACAATTTTCTAGAAATGATTTTGACAGTACACATCAAAATCTTATATATTTCTAGTAATTCTACCTGGAATCTACTCCTTGGAAGTAATCTGAAATCCAAACAAAACTGTTTATAAAATAGTCTTGGTGGTTTTTTTCATAGTGAAAAGTTAAAAATAATCTCAAGGCATCATAGAGGAATGATTGAAAAACCTGATGGTATACCCATTTAATTAATTTCTTCAGGCTGCTGTAAAAAAAAAGTGCCACAAACTGGATGGCTTTAAAACAACAGAAACTTGGGACTAAGGATAGAGCTCAGTGATGGAGTGCTTGTATAGCATGTGTAAGGCTCTGGGTTCAACCCTTAGCATGGGTGGGGAGGGGGGAATAGAAGTCCAAAATCAAGGTGTCAGCAATGTTGGTTCCTTTTCTTAGGGGGAATCTGCTCCACTCTTCCTTCCAGATTCTGCTATGGCCAACAATCCTTGGCTTTTCTTATTTCTTGGCTTTGCCTCCATCTTCATATGGTGTTCTCTCTGTTTCTGTGTTTTCACATGGCCACGTACTTACAAAGATACCACTCATACTGGATTGGGGTCTACCCTGTGCCCATATTACCTTATTTTAACTTTMTGAATCATATCTGCAATGAGACATTTGCAAATGATGTCACATTCTGAGGTACTGGGAGTTAGAATTTCAACATATCTTTTTTGGGGATACAATACAATTCAACCCAGAACACTATGTGATAGAATACTAGGCAGCTGTGAAAAATTATGGATAGGAAGAGTTTTTAAGGACAGGGGAAAATGTCCTAAATTATTGAAAAAGTCAGTGATCAAAAATTGGTGTGTGTATGTATGTCACGATCTCACTTTATGAAAATATGCATCATAGAAAGTCTAGATGGAAATAAATCTTAACTCTGGTTATAATTATATCACTCAAAGAAGAATACTTTCTGAATTAAACAATTTTACTTTTTAAAAAATAAACTAGATTAACTTAGGAAAAGTTAGAGGGAAAAATGTTTGCATATTGGAACCTACCTACATAGGATCTTTCATTTTTAACATTTATTTTTATACAGCAGATTTTTGGGAGATCCCTATTGTGGCAAAATGTGGAAACTATGAAGTAAATCTGCACAGACTTGCTTAATTTGTAAACTTGTTTAATATTTTATGTGCAATGTATTGTCAGTGTGGTCCTGTGGCTTGAAAGTCTTAAAGAAAAARTTCAGTAGTGGTAAAATTCTAGAAACATGATTCTGACTGTGCAGATGTAAGTGATTATATTATAGTACGGGTGAAAATTTGGCCAAAATTTTTTTAGTGCAGAGTATCAAAAATATTTATGTTARTTGCCCAGATATCTTGCCTTTTCAAAAGGATACACTAAAGATGGAAAAAAGGAAGTGTATAGAAAAGAACYGTCTAGTGTTTAGTCTCCTTTAAGAGATAATTCAAATATGTCCATGTGATAATTCAAGATTCTGGGCACTGAACATGCTCACATGTGAGATTCTTGAACTACTCTAACTGTTGAAGAATTGTGGTAAATAGTAGGAAAGATGTCCTAGATCCAAAGATTAAAAAACAGTTTAATTTCTTTTTTCTTTTTGGTGCTGGGGATCGAACTTAGGGCCTTGTGCATTCAAAGCAAGCACCTTACCAACTGAGCTATATCCCCAGCCCCTACAATTTAATTTTTAAAAAGGGAAAAAGCTATATTTTGGTGAGCTCAATGTTAATATTGACCTGAGTTCCTAGGTAATTAAAAAGATGATTTGTGAAGTTGAGGAAGGTAATATCCAGAATAAACTCGGGAAAAACAAGTCATGGCTCTTCTCATTTTCATTTATATTAAAATTTTTTTTTAAATTACCCAGATGCCCTTCAATAGATGAATGGATAAAAAAATGTGGCATTTATACACAATGGAGTATTACTCCACACTAAAAAATGACAAAATCATGGAATTTGCAGGGAAATGGATGGCATTAGAGCAGATTATGCTAAGTGAAGCTAGCCAATCCCTAAAAAACAAATGCCAAATGTCTTCTTTGATATAATGAGAGCAACTAAGAACAGAGCAGGGAGGAAGAGCAGGAGGAAAAGATTAACATTAAACAGAGACATGAGGTGGGATGGAAAGGGAGAGAAAAGGGAAATTGCATGGAAATGGAAGGAGACCCTCATTGTTATACAAAATTACATATAAGAGGTTGTGAGGGGAATGGGAAAAAAACAAGGAGAGAAATGAATTACAGTAGATTGGGGTAGAGAGAGAAGATGGGAGGGGAGGGGAGGGGGGATAGTAGAGGATAGGAAAGGTAGCAGAATACAATAGTTACTAATATGGCATTATATAAAAATGTGGATGTGTAACCGATGTGATTCTGCAATCTGTATTTGGGGTAAAAATGGGAGTTCATAACCCACKTGAATCTAATGTATGAAATATGATATGTCAAGAGCTTTGTAATGTTTTGAACAACCAATAAAAAATAAAATAAAAATAAATAAATACTTAAAAAATATTATGTTGTTATATTATGTCATATATAAATATGTAACAATAAATCCCATCAGTATGTACAAATATAATGCACCAATAAAGTAGGAAAAATATTTTACTGTGGAAAAAAATTTAAATGTAGTTTTTCTAGATATAAAGGTAAAATATCATTTTGTAATAGTATATCAAACTTTTTTCAACCCTTTATATATTTTATTGTTTTTTAAGGTTATTGAATTTTTGGAAACTTTTGTATTTGCTATTAAACTACAAAATCTACAAACTGTAAGACTTGTATTCAAGATTCAAACCCAAACTCCCAGGAAGAAAACCATTGGAGAATGTTCTGTGTCGCTTAGAACTCTCAGCACACAGGAAATGGATTATTCTTTGGATATAATACCACCTTCAAAATTTTCTGTAAGTGATAATAATATGCAGTGTTAAAAATATTCTGTACTTTTAGAATGGCTTAGTGGATAGTGTTTTGTTAGTGGAGGATAACTTAAATACTTTATTAATTATGGAAATAGGAAAAGTCTCAAGAAGTAATATCGTTTCAAAAATTGATGAAAGGTCAACATAACTGTTTCTGTATTTTAAAATAACGTTGGATTACCTTCTCCTAGCACATTAYTTATTAATGTTTCATCAGATATAGTAACCCTGAAACATGAATAACTTTAATACATTTTTAAAAGTTTTTCTAGTAGCTGGTGACTTGGGAAAAACAACAAAGAATCATAAGGTCAAAGTSCAAACTCAATCTGAGATTGCCCTGAAATAGATTAGGGAAGTTGTTTTAATCCTGGGTAAACTGTATATCTGTTCATAAATAGGTTAGAATGGAAGTTGGGTTTTGATTTTTTGGTGTTTAGAATGGAACCCAAGACCTCATGCATGATGAGCACTTACTGTACCACTGAGCTACATTCCCAGCCCAGATTTTTTTTTTTTCAAGCTTGCTTACCTATGGTGCTTGATTGATTTCTGAGACCTGATGTTTACTTCTCTCAACTGGCCAGCTGAACATTGTCTTTATTTAGAGATTCCTAATAATTTAATTATGTAGTTTCTGTGTCAGGATAGAGATCAGTCCTGAGTTTTATAAGATCTAATCTGTAGGTGATTTTAAACTTATTTAGGACTTATATTTTACCTACTTCCAAAAATATTTAAGATTACTTGAAGTGCTTTTTAACCCTTTCTGTACATTATAATTACCTGGCAAATTAARGTCAATAAAATTTCTTGAGGGTTGGAACAGAAGCATTTGTAGTTTTCAAAAGTTCCCCAAGTGATTCTAATGTGTAGCCTTTCAAATCACCAAATTGTAGGGGAAATTAGAAACTAAAACATAAGAAACAAAGGTTACTGTAATTAATCAGAAGAATTGAAATTTCTGATATCTTTTTCCCTGTTAATTTTAATCCCCAATGTTTTCTTTAATGGCATTTATTATGTCATATCATTATTTAAGTTACTTAATTTTAAATAAAACAAAACAAGTCTTAGGTTTCTGTTTTCTTCATATTTTACTGTGCTGTTAACTAAGGTCCTACCATATTGTTGATACTATATATTTGTATGTAGGCAGGTATGAAAAAATAAATGATGAATGAAAGCATACCAAATGAGATTATTGTCCTTTTCTGTTAAAACATAGCAGCTGTGACAGGAGTTTGTCACTGGCAGAGTTGACAATAGTAGACAGTAATCTGCAACCATCTTTTACAGAAGATACAAAAACGCTAATCAAATAGGTTATTCATACATTAAAACTCTAAAGACAGAATATATCAGAAGATAAGTCAGTGAAGGTATTTTCTGGGAAACTGAGATATTATATGCCTGGAGAATTTGAATGAATGATTATGACTGGATTTCTATTAAATTATATTTCATATGTTAGAAGTCTTATAAACACTTGGTTTCTACTGGATGTCACRTGCTAGGTATATAAAGATTGATGACTTGAAATAAGAGCATTTGTGTTATTCAGGACCAATGAATTTATGTTACCAAGTACTGATGTTTCATATTATTGGCTAAGATAAGAATAATATTGTGCTTTGTTTTATGTTCTGAAGAGGAAAATAGATATTGTAATTATGCCATTGAAAGAACCAGACTTGTCTACCCACTATCCACATTGATAACTGTTGCACCACGAATAGCATTGCTTTGTATAAAGCTAATGGTTTTTTTCAGGAGAGTTCCTGACCTTGGCCAATACTAATGTATTTACTTGACCTCAAATTTTGATATTGAATAGATAGAAGAGACAAAGTTTGCCTGAAGAAGTAGTTGACCTTTATAGAGATTTACCTTATGGCTGACTCGTTGCTAAGTAATCTACTGTTCATACCGCTCTTCTGCGCCTGTGCATTCCTTTTCYTATGTGGAGATCAGTGAAGCTATTTGCACAGCTAGTAAATAGTCAAAGAATCCAGATTTGATTCCAGAGCTAACCCTCTGAACTCTTCCATGTATGTTCCCTTTGAAGACATTTTCAAACATCATCAGTTTATGATTCTTCCTGATTACGGTTGGCATCTCATTTTTTTAATGGTTCCRGGAAGGCTAATAAATTTTTCTTTAAAAATTGGTTCGTTATTCAGGAGCAAATATCATACCTTCTACAGTTTTRTGCTTATTAAATATAGTCAGTACACATCAACTAATTGATTTGTATTTTAATTTTTGGTTATTATGAGATTGAAAATTATTTTGAATATTTTCTCATGAGCTGAATTAATGTCCTGGAATATAAAYTGAATTTGTGAGATAACCTTGGCAAGTAGAAAATAGCAAACCCATTGCCAAATGCTACTGTTTATGAGAATTAACTCTACAATTGTGTAACAATAAGAGAAGTTTTGCCACTTTCAGCTGTTTTCATAAGTGTTATTTAATTATGGGTGCAAAACCATAATGAAAAAAATTAATGAAAAAAGTTTAATCATGGTTATCTTTGTGTTTTATAAACAATAAATGATTATAGTTTTTAATGTATTAATTTAAATGCCAAGGGCAGAAACAACTTTTTTTTTAATCAACAAAGACTTTATTTTATATATGGCTATCCAGTTAGTTCATGCAAAAAGAGTTGTTAATCAGTTCTCACTTAGAGTAAACCTGGAAAGCAATAAATTCGCTTATTTAAAAAGTCAGCATTGTTGCCMGATTGAACAGTTTTATTCTCATTTTAGAGTTTTTCGAGAGGAAATTAACCTTAACTCAAGTTTCTACTTTTTAAACAATTCACTTTTTACTCCCTATTTCTTGATTTCTCATGGCATGACAGTTATAAAACACAGCATCATGTTTTAAGAAAAGACCCAAGCTTGAGGTGATGTCCTGTACGTAGAAAGGTTTTTTTGTTTTTTTCCCCCCTCAATGAGTGATTAAGGTACTGGACAGTTACAAATATGTTAACCTTTTTGTAAAGTATCATTCAACTGTTCTGTAGCTTTACTGGAATCACTTCTAGTAAGTCTGTAAATGTTGTATTCTTATTCCCATTCTTGTTCTTTTCAAWACATGAACAGTGATCTTTTTGTGTCTGGACAACTTCACGTTTCTCTTTTACTTTTCACTCCAAGTACCTTGGAATCCAGATGAGTAGGATTTGTGTTGTATTTCACAGACAAATCACCAGCTTTCTTTTCCTGTTGGTAAGCAGTACTGACGAGCATATTTTAATCCACCTCCCCACCTGTTGTTTTCATCTTAAAGTTTGCCTCAGTTTTTTTTTAAAACCTTTTCCTTATTATATACGGCCTTATCACTGATTAGCTTCCTTCTTGCCAGCTTCCTTTGGCTTGTTCCCATTCAGGATAGATATGCAACTCTGGATCCATAAATCTGTTTATTACAGCAATCCTTTGTCTTCTGATTTTTATAGCATCTACTCTGAATTCTAAAATTAGGAAACTCAATTGACTACATTTAATTATTTTAAAAGTGCATTCCTTCCTGTTGGTTTATTTCACTGGCAGTTTTTCTGTTAATATTGCCTAGGAATTTAATTTGTTTTTAAGTTGAATTGTCTTTTAGTATTACTGATATTGAAATCYGGTATGTAGGTGTACAGACTTTCAGAATTGATGCAAATGAATGCCTTACATTTACAGAATCTATGACATTTATCTTCTTATTTTATAACTAATGGCTTTGAGTGTCAATAGAAAGCAAAGCTTTCAAAAACTGTAACTATTTTTGAAATATTTCCAAACTTTATTATTGAATACTGGATGATACTTTTTGATATACAGGTTTGCCATGCAGAACTTGAATTGGGGACTTGTTTTCAAGCAGTAAATAGCAGAATTCAGCTTCAAATTCTTGAGGCACAGTATCTTCCAAGCTCATCAACACCTCTGACTTTAAGTAAGTGTATCAGTGTTCAAAGTACATCAAATGCAGAGAGATTACAATTCAATAAGAATGAAGAGACCAGTAGAGTGATGTCTTTCCTTTGCTGGATGCACAACCAGGACTTGTGATACTTTAGTTGGCTAGGCCTAGTAACTTGGCCACCCCTAGAACTGAAGGTTTGAGGTCAGCCCTATCTCCCAGGCTAAGAGGAAGGTAGAATTGTTCCTTTTTACTATGAAAGAAGGGAATTAACTATCTGGGAGCAGGCAAAGCAATAAATGTCCACTGTAACAATGAATGTCCACTGTAGAAAGGATAAAAATAAATGAAACTGAACATTCAATTCMAGAAGCTRCAAAAACAAAAAATTGAAGGAAAGAAGTAAGCTGAGGTTGAAGTTATAAAATGTGGAGACAACAGCAGATAACACAATCAATGAAACTAAACTTTTCTTTGAAAGGACCATTAAAATAGGCAAATCTGTAGCAGGTTGGATAAAGCAGAAAAATAGACAAAACATGAATGATATTCTGAACCAAGAAAAGGATATAATTTTAAATTTAGAAGAGATTTGGTTATATATAAGGCAATACCAGGTRTAACAATACTAATTCATTTGTACATCTATATGAAATAAATGACTTTCTAAGAAATTTACTCAAGAGGAAGAAATCTAAAAAGAATAGCCATGAAAAGGGAGAGAACTCTCTCTCATAAAAAGCACTAAGCCAATATTATTTTACTGACAGATTTTACCAAACTTTCAAGGAACWTCTGATTCCTTTTTTATATAAGCTATTCTAAAGCAAGAAAAAAAGATGGAAAAATAATTTTGTTAGCATATTCTTGATATCAAAASAGATTAGATAGCACATACATAAAATTAACTCTACACTAACATCACCTATGTAGATAGATAGAAAAATCCTAAAATAAAAGTAAGCAAATAGAAGGAAGGGAAGAATAGAAGTTTATTGAATTAGACAAAGAGGAATGAAAGGAAGGGGGGGAGGTGGGAATAGGAAAGACAGTAGAATGAATCAGACATAACTTTCCTGTGTTGATACATGAATACATAATCAGTGTAACCCCACATCACATATAACCACAAGAATAGAATCCTAATTAGAATAAGCTATATTCCGTATATGTATAATATGTCAAAATATACTCTGCTGTCATGTGTATCTAAAAAGAACAATTTTTTTAAAAAGTAAGYAAATAAAGTCCATCTTGGAATAGTGAGTCGWAAGGACAACAGTGGAAATTTACAAATACAATATATTACATTAACAGGTGAACTCCCTAGATCAAAACTAATGATCTCTATTTTATAAATTTAATGCTCAGGTCTCTTGGTCCTCACTCTGAGACTCCCTTCCTGGGAGTTCCCTCATCCCCTTCTTGTTACCCTGCAATCCCAGCTCTATTACCTGATAACRTGGCACATTCTGCTCGAGCCATAAGCATGCTGTGCCAGTCAGACTAGGGCATATGCTGAGGTGAAAAGCTATAGTAAATCTGAATTTTAGTGCAGTTCCCATCTTTGAAAAGTTTCTTTCCTTCACTTTTTTCCTGATTTYAATCAATCTTTATTTTTATTATTTCCCCMAAATTTATAATTATAATCKATGAGAARCTTATTAGTTCATAAAAACTATTTTACCATTGTTGGAAGCTCTACATCTCAAACTTATTTAAAGAATAGATTGTTTTCTAGTGGCATATGCTTTTAGAGTCTCAAGCAAAAAAATTTATCTATATAAAATTGTGAAATAAATACCTCATCTGTCCAAAGAGTTGGTACCTCTCTTTTGTGTAATCCTTTTCAGTGTATACACCTTTGCTCCTCATTGTTATTTATGCCTATGATTCTACTTGTTAATGTCATTCAGAACGAAGATTAAATTTGTTTGAAGTTATAGTAGTTACTTGTAAAATGCAGTAAAGATTATAAAGTTACTAGAGATGTTTTCTTTTATCAAACAGTCGTAGCTCATTGAACATTTTTAAAATAGCTTATTTATATATTTACATTAAACATAATATATATCTTTATGTGGTATTTAATTAGAATTTGTTTCGTAGGTTTTTTTGTGAAGGTGGGAATGTTTAGCTCAGGAGAGTTGATTTATAAGAAGAAAACACGCTTACTGAAGGCCTCCAATGGAAGAGTAAAGTGGGGAGAGACTATGATTTTTCCACTTATACAGAATGAAAAAGAAATTGTTTTTCTCATTAAGCTTTATAGTCGAAGCTCTGTAAGAAGAAAACATTTTGTGGGCCAGGTTAGTTTATCTTTAATTTCTTCTGTGTATTTTTCTATGCATTTAGACAGTGGTTAACAAAAGGAATACGGGATTAAACTAAAGTTGAATAGTGTAAGATTTCTTAGTATAAATTACAATTCAGTGTTGACACAAAAATCAAATCTCATCGGACTTATTTCTTTAATATAAGTAGTTGGAATTTCTGAGCAATCAGGCTTATCTTTAAGCCTTTTTCTCAGCTTTTCAACTTTAAAAACTAAGATCAGTTTTTAGGTATTACTGACTCATTCCTTATGGAAGAAGACATTAAGTGTTTAAATTGAATTGGTTAAAACTTTGAATATCAAATTTACCTCATTTTGTTTCAGCTTCAATTYAATATTTAACAAGAGAACTTTTTAATTATATTAGATTTGAATTCCTAGAAAACAATTTTAATGATGGTGGAGATATTTAGATAGTCAATACTAGTGTCTGGATTGTCTATTTTAAAATTCTTAGTAATCTGTATAGGACAATATAATACTGGCTTACTTGCCAACACTACAGGAACTTGTTTCCATTTATATTTTTTTTCCTTATTCTGAATGGATTAATGGTAGTTTTCTTTTTTTTACAATTATTTGAGCCACATTTAAATTACTGGTCTAAAAGCTTCCTCTTCATAGTAAACTGTTATTAGTAGTCTATGTGTAGTCCTCAAATTATAAATATGATTTTTTAAAGATTGATATTAACTTTTTGACTCACTTTTTCATTTAATTTACCTAAAATGTTTATTTAAATGTAGTTTTGTTTCTGCATTTATTTGGAAAATAGCTTGAATTTGAAAATTTGTATAACTATATACTTTTGATAGCTATGAGTCCTATGAAGTCAATTTAGTTAAAAGTTTTTCTGGGTGTGGGGATGTGGCTCAAGATGTAGCATGCTCGCCTGGCATGCGCAAGGTGCTGGGTTCGATCCTCAGCCCCACATAAAAATTAAAAATAAAGATGTTGTGTCCACCGAAAACTAAAAAATAAATATTAAAAAAAAATCCTCTCTCTCTCTCTCTCTCTCTTTTAAAAAAAAGTTTTCCTGTATCATCAAACCTTAGCTATCATGTATGAATGGAATAGGATTCTGGAATGTTTTTGCTGGTTGTCTGCCTCCAACAGACTCTTGAGTGGTGTCAGGTGTCACCATAATGGGATAAACAAATGCAGGCTCAAGTTCTCCCACTCCTGTTTACCAACCAAAGCACTCTGATGTTACCTGTTTTATATGTTGGGGTTCTTTGTAAGATATTATTTGAAGGAAATTTTTTTCAGACCAAGAAAGAAAAGGAAAAATATTTGAAAACCAGTGAGTGATCTGCTCCAATCTCTTTACTCAGAGAAGTTAATTCCAAGGTTATAGCATTTGTTAATGCTAGAGCCATGGTACAGATTTTAGATTCCTTGTCCACCTTGTCTCCATGATATAGCCATTATGGTGTCTTAAATTTACATAATACTATATAATTTTCCCAGGTTTATTCACACACATAATAACCTAAACCCCATAAGCGATAGACACTTTGAAATTACTCTGGATCAAGAATGACTATTTATTAAATTTCAATTAARTTTACAATTRTATTGAATAAAAAAGGTTTTTAAAAATACACATTCCTTATTAATTGAAATCATGATTAGCCTCAGTTTAATTCATCTTTATAAAGTTGTTTTTGAGTGGTCAGAATCAATTTTAAGTTGAGCTCCTAGAATAGTTGAATAAGAAAGGAAAGTTGGAACTATTTGGGGGGAAATGATTTTACAAAACTCTCACCTTGGATTTTTTAAAATATTTATTTTTTAGTTGTAGTTGGACACAATACATTTATTTATTTATTTTTATGTGGTGCTAAGGRTCAAACCCAGGGCCTCACACATACTAGGCGAGTGCTCTACTACTGAGCCCCAGCCCCATCACCTTGAATTTTTAAATGATTTAGTTTWTATGAAATAGTCTTCAGAATGACTAAACAGTTTAAATGTTTTAGAATTTAAGTCTCAAACAGATAAATTAATTTACTTTTGGGAAAATGGAAAGTTGTTTACTTATAAATATGTAAACCAGACTTCAAATATTTTTATCAATAAGAGTAATAAACTGTTTTAACTCACTTGTCGTAATTGTGTCAAGTTAAATGATTGTACTGTTCCTTTACAGATTTGGATAAGTGAAGACAGTAATAGCACTGAAGCAGTGAACCAATGGAAAGAAACAATTGCAAATCCAGAAAAGGTTGTTACCAAGTGGCACAAGTTAAGTCCATCCTGAAGACTTCACACATTAATTTGGTGAAGAAACAACTTGACATTCTTTTAGAAGACTTAGAATTTTAATTTGCTAAAAATTATAATAAATTTTATCAAATATCCAAAGTGAAGGAAATGCTTTAAAACAGTGCCAGAAGAGACAAAATAAAAGCGTAGTATTATTATGGCAGTTAAATGACTTATAAAGTCTATGAGAATAYAAGCCATACATAGGAATTTATGTATTATGTTTTTTGCTTTTGTTTTTTAAGTTTTACCTAGATATTTAAAACCTGCTATAACAAGCCCTGTTAGTACTACTAGACATTTAGATGACTATACCTTTGTTCCAGTGCTAGGCATTGTTRATTACATTTTTGTTCCACTGTTTACCTCTTCCTGTATATTTTCTCTCAGCAAAAATGAATTGAACCATTTCAGTTGTTTTCTATATTTGGGGGAAGATAGTGCCCTGTGTTTATAATTTATTACCTATAAGGCATTACATTGCTATTTTGTAAACTACTTACTTCCAAGAAACTTCAGAAATAGAAAGTACATTTAGACGAGCATAAACAAAAACACCAAAAGATTGAAGTTTAATTTGTGACCCAGAATTATACATATTTTGCTGTTTCTCTCCATTAGATACTTTCGTCTTTTTTTTTTTTTTTTGGAGTTAAAATAAGATTATCATCCATATGGTCCATCCTAACTAGCAGARTGAATAAGTTTAAATAGAAAATATTTTATGATAATCATTTCCTTGCTTTTAGTTTTTTAAGTACAAATTACTTGTTCTGTAATCTATAATGTTAGAGTATTTTGTCATGTTTTTTATAACTATACCTGATAACATTATAGAGCAAAAATTTTCTATTGCAGGTTTCTTTCAGTTGCTTATTAGAACTCAGTATAAGGGGATAATTTCAGCATAGTTGTCCATATGAACTATGGCCAAAAGCAACAGCTTTTTGGAGAAACAAATAACCCTACTCCTAATTTAGCAAAATATGATTTTATTTTTGCTAGTAAGTAGACTATGTGCTCTGTGTTCTTTGTCTTCCATTTTTCTTTCTTTGTTCCAAACATGCCAAGAGATAGATGGTGATATTTTAGGCCAGAGGTATACCTTTCCATAACCTAAACATTCCCTTTTCATTCTAATTCCTGTGTTCTATGTGTCTTCTTAAAATTTCCCCAAATAAACACCTAGTTCTCTTGCCTAGATACTATCTCCACAAGCTGCAAAATGTATCAAGTTTATATGCCCTTTGCTTCTGTCTAGATTTTATGGTTCCAGTGGTGTGATAAGTATTCTCTGCCACTGTACATTTTGAAATAAAAATTTTAGATTTGTGAAAAATGGTATTTTAGWTAGTACTCACGTTGACTTCTGGAAGAAATTACCCTGCGTGGTAGTATTTTGAATCTTTGAGACAAATGCAGCTAATTTTGATTCTTTCATTTGTTTTTTTTTTAAATAGACTATTTTTAGAGTGGTTTTAGGTTCACAGCAAAATTGAAAAAAGAGGTACAGAGGTTTCCTATACAACCCTCTCCAGTACACAGACATACACAGATGAGGTACAACCTCTTTACCCTGTCAGCATCCTGCACCAGAATAATACATTTGTTGCAACTGATAAACTTACATTCATACAATTATCACCTAAAATCTATAATTTACATTAGGACTCCCTCCTAGTGTTTTACATTTTGTAAATTTTAACAAGTGAATAGTGACATGTATCATTAGAATCTTTTCAGAGTGGTTTCAWTGCCCTAAAAATCCTCTGTAATACAATATTTTAATAGCTATCAAAGAAATAAATGTATTTATTGGCTTTTTGATAATAAATAACAGACTTTCTTGCTTTAAAAAAAACTAGAATTTTATTTTAGCAATTTTCTGTGTTTTTAATTCTTGAATTTAATATATGTAGTCATGTACTTAACTCAATTATTTAATTTGTAGTATTTAAATATATRTATAAAATATGGTTTCTTGGTTTCTTAGGATCCCAAATAAATCATAAAAAGAAAACTTCATTTAAACAAACTTTCAGATAGGAAAGTATTGGTAGAACTAAGACCCCAGATATTCTAATTGGTATTAACTTAAACTTTCCAAAGGTGAAGAGATATTGAATATAGCTGAAATGCTCATTTGATTTCTTGAAGCTTTATGTAGAAATATAAATAGAAACATGCTCTTTCTTAAAAATTTAACCTTTTTAAATTTTTTATWTATTTGTTTATTATATGGTGCTAAGGATTGAACCYAGTATCTCAGGCAAGTGCTCTACCACTGAGCTACAACTCCAGCCCTAGAAATACCGTCTTTCTGTTAACAGCCCCTCATATTGTGAGAAAAACAATRGGAACTGGTAACAAAAAATGAGATACTGTGGAAAAACCACTTCCCTTTCTTTGCATTTGCTTAGGCTTTTCTTGACCTTTACCCAGCTATAATAAGGAAAAGGAAACCAAAATGATTCTGGGTGATCAAAGGGAACCATGGAAGGATTCATGTTGATAACTGATAATTTACATGATATAATCCCTAAAAAAATATTTATATATTATAAACTTTCACATTAACACAGTTAAGTAACTACAGCCCATGTCAAAATATAGCATCAATACTTGACTTTTAGTTTTGATGATTTTTTAAGCAGAACTTATTGAGAAATGACCAAGAAAGTATGTCAGTTTAAACTCTTAATCAGACTGTTAAGAAACCRGTGGGATTTTGAACATATGTAATTGGTCCGAAAATAACCTAAAGTGAAGTTCTGTTTGAATACAGTTACATGAATTTTTTTGCTACCAAAGTACTACRCAGCCTAGTGAAAACACTTTCCTACCAAAAATTTTCATTGTTTGTTTAATAAATTTTTGCTTATTTATGAAGGATTTTCAATTTTTCATTAAATTTTAACTTTTCTTRCCATGGGAATAAGGGGTATTGCACTCAGAAGCACCTAACCACTGAGCCATGTCCCCAGCCCTTTTTATATTTTATTTAGAGACAGGGTCTCACTGAGGCTGACGTTAAACTTGCAATCCTCCTTCCTTAGCTTCCCGAGCTGCTGGGATGACAGGCATGTGCCACTGTGCCCAGCTCAGGAACGGGTATTTCAAAACTATACATCTTTATTAGATATTTGAACTTTTGTTTGGGGTTTCTTCAGGTATACTAAGAAAGGTGCCAGATAAAATATCTGTGTATCTCATGGTTTTTGAAGAGATTTTCTRATGTTCTTGTTGTATAAGTGTAATTCTTGTTAAGAATTAAATTTCAAATTCTTTCATTTCTAGGTTAAGCACTTAGTTGAAAGAATTGTGAAAAAAGGGCYCATGTAAAATACCATGTCCATTTTGAAATAAAGATAGATATTAAGGGAGTTAATGTAGCCCTCAAAAACTATATTTTATGTTTTAAGTRGCAACTTTTCTGAAGATAAATCCTGCCTATATTTTTAGTAATTTCTTAATAGAAAAAAATTTAACTTGTTTTCCTGATTTAAAAATTTTTCAATTTCTAAAAAGAAACATCTTTAAAAACATTGATCACAGTCTACATTAAATCATAGGATTCTGACAATGGCAGTAGGTATCTAAAAAGGGAAGTTTTATATTATATGTCTTCTTGGATRGCAAGAAGGTTGCCAGTTCCATTCTGAGCTAAATCACTGAAGGAGATATGTCTTTAAATGATGGTGATATTTGTTGTATTGTTTTTCATATTCTTATCCTGTGGAATTTGTTTCTGGGAGAAGAAAATAGATAAAAAATGTCTGCTCTTCATGGTAAGGCTGGATTTATTTTAGCAGAAATAAATTTGACTGGCTGTGGCTCTAAATTGACTTTCAGTTTGATATCTGAGTCTTTAATCTTTATTGATTACACAGTATATGGAGTCTTGATCACGAAACAACTATATTTTAATGAGCAATAAGCTATTTTGTATAATATATAAATAATAAATGCTATAAGCCATCATTGTTTATTTTGAGATTTTTATTTTAGTAGGGGAAATTAAACTATACAAAGCTGTGTTATAGTATAAAATAGGATTTGAGGCATGGATAAAATGCTTTGGAGGCTCAAATAAAGTAAGAATTAAATGTAGCTTAAGGAATCAGGAAAGATTTGTTAGATCCCTGACCTGAAACACACAAAACAAGCAGATTGGTAGCACTATTATTCTTGATCACTGACCTTACCTATCTAGCAATCTTACTTCATTTCTTTTGTCAACTGACCCCCTGAAAAAAAAATTCTTAACTTCCTTCCACTTACTATCCTCTAATCTACCTGCTTTTTTCTTTACTCTTAATAGAAGATCCTCATCTGTCACTGGGACTACAAGCATGTGYCACCCACCCGGATTAAAAATCTTATTTCTTGATGTCAAAGAAAATAACATTGAATTCCTTCAGTTACCTACTGCCATATTTATAAGCTTCTTTTTACCCATATCCGACTTCTTCCTCTTCTTCTTMTTATGTTAAAAAGCAATTCCTTCCTTGTAAATTCTGAATCCAATCATTTTGGCCTTTTTTGGACACTGATTCCATTTATTAAACACATGTTCTTCTATTCTCTGAGCCTTTGTTGCTGGATTCTTTGTATCATTGTTCAAACCCTGGTRCATGATTATCTCAAAATTGCTTGTTGATATGTTTGATGGAAAGGACCCTATAGACCTAATATTGGTGGTTAGATTRCTATATTGACAAAGGAAACTGGGAATTTGCAATTGACTGAATGTGACTGAATGTTTATGTCTTCCCACCCCAAATTCATATGTTGAAATCCTGACACCCCCCCCCCAAGATGATGGTATTAGATCATTTGGGTGGAGCCCTCACAAATGGGATTAGTACCCTTATTACAAGAGAGCTGAAAGTGATCCCYTGCCCCTCTGTCAGGCTGTGAGGAAGCAGCCTCCACCAGTCTGTGAGAACCTCGATGTTAAAATTCCAGCCTCCAAAATTGGAAGGAATAAATGTTTGTTGTTAATGAGCTACTCCGTTTATGTTATTTTGTTAGATCTGCTCATATTAAGACAAAAACATTACATAAAGCARGAAATGGTGTATCATGTCTTTCTAAGACTCCAAATTTCCCTATGTATAGCCAGTGAAGATTCCTCCTAATAGCAGAAACTCACTTTTTATTCTCAAAGGAATTTTTATTCCTCCTTCACTTTCCTACCACCTAGCTACTCTCATGTCTACTTGTTCAATAAGTGTAACTGGTAGAAAATAGTCCCAACAAATCCTGAGTAATTACTGAGAATTTWAGTGTAATTAACTCTATGAATAAGAGGGTTGGTTTCTAAGCATGGCATCTATTRGGGCTCTTAGGTTTCAGGCTTCTCTGTGATGTATTTCTTTCTTTTAAAAGATTATTGAATGGTCTACCCTGATCTATATTTTGGCTCATCCCATAGATAACTTCTAACTGCTCTGTCCCCAGCCTGTCCCTTCAATCTTCTGTCCTGGCCACTCCACTAAAACTCATGAAGTCTTAACAAATGCCCTAGCTGTTTTTCTTTATTACTCCTCAGCTTTCTGAACAATAGATTCTGCCTTGAAACCATCTCTTTCCTTAACTTTCACATCATTATGCTCTGCTTATTTTCTTAGCACCTAACTCATCCTTCTCTATTGGCTCATTTTCAAGAACATGACCTTTGAAAACTG